CCTGTTGTCCTTTACAAGGTTTGTAAATTTCATGATGAATGGACTAAAAGAAATTACCTAAAATGACTCAGAAAAAAGTCTGGTTCCATTGACTAACATAATGTATGAAAGTAAAACAGGTTTTTTCCTTCTCCTGTAAATTTATCATTTTGGAGATACAAGGTTTTCTTCCAAAAACAGCGATATGTTATAATGTCATAGCCTATGTGACATTTGAGAGGCCCTGGAAGTTGATACAATTGACAGCAGTATACCTTTGGTCTGATGCAGCACAGGTTTTAAAGCAAACAGACAGACAGAGGAAAGCTCCAGTTGTTTGATTCTCCTATGTCTGTCGACTCTGAAAAGGTGTAAGTCACCTTGTAAACTAGGGAATTTTGCTCTTATTTTCTCAATAAATGTGTTCTCTGGCATGAAGATTGGCACCACATTTTTTTCAGTGACAATCCCGCTGTTAAGGAAAAGAGAAAACCACAAATGTTGTAAATAGTTTACAGATTGCCTTTTTTAAAACTTACACCAGTTTACAAAACTCACTTTGAGTTACTAAGTAATCTTACCTTTGCCCCTGTCTAACCCTAAGCCTGATCCCTCATCTTATGCCTTGGTATAAAATAGCCATATGGAAGAACAACAAATCAACAAATCAAAGGTCCTGTCCTCCTGGGCTCCTGATCTCTCCTGGTCTACACCCCAAGTCTTAATGAAAAATAAGCATAAAATAGAGACATAAAAATACTGGAGTTAGCAAATTTGAAATAAAGACTGTTCAAATGAACAAATTTTTCACATGGTACCTAAAAAATGCTGTTCACTGAAACTTTCCATTGCTAATTCTAATGGATTGGCAGAAGTAATGTTAACAAAATATTAGCTTTTTAACAGCTTTACCTTTGCAGGCTAAAATGACCCATTATCGTACTAGCTTTTCTATCCCCAAATAGCTACATAGGCTATAAGTTTCCATCCTTCAAACACAGAATAGTCATTACAACAAAAGTGGGGGACAATGAGTGCATTTACTTGCACTTAATAATCTGGTAACTGCAGAAAATCCGATTTTGTCAGGAAGCCAATAGCATTTGCATGCACATGTGTAATCAGATAATGGGAAAACTCTGGGTCTGAGTCAGGCAGTAATCGGATTTCTGCTTTGCAACCAGCCAATAAACTCACAGAAGAAGACGTGACGGAAACGTAATGTAAAACTCAAACTTCATGCCACAGCTGTTTTTTTTTTAACCTTGAACCACTTTTACCTATATTTGAGATAGCGTTATTGCTATTGTTGCATTGCCTTTGGCTAAAGCTGCTCATTCCACTTAGAATCGTCCACCGAACAGCACAACCAGTGAAGCAACAAAATGACAGACTGTCTGTATAAAGTCTTCAAGTCTACTTTCCTCTGTTCTTTTTCCCAGGTTCTGATGGCCGATAGTGGTGCTATGATGTGCTGTTATTTAGCCTAGCCAAGTAGCCGCTGTCCAGAGTCGCTGCTTTACTCATAGGAGCTGTTGGTACGTGCCTGTTTTGAGAGGCACATGTATGGCGTGAGTGGCAAGTGACACTCGTTACCAGTTATCGATGGCAGGTATCATTCGCTAAGTGGCACATGCCAGTACGTGCCATTTCTGGATGGCAGAATTGCCACTTCCTGATGCCAATCCGGGACTAAATTCCCTCTCCAGCAATTCTTACTATGCATGCGCTGAGAAATCTGCTGAGCTAAAATAAAGTACATTCAAATGAGGACACGTCTGTTACTTGTGCAGAAATGAAACCTGAATTTTAGGTGCCAATTTAACCCATCGGGTGGTTCTGACTAGCGAAGTAAATTCTGCACTAACGTGTTGACCAACGTCTCAGAACCACAAGAGTTGTCTCCAGCTTCGGAGGCGCCGCACTACAGCCAGACCCTGCAAACACAGTTGAGCTGTGACAACATTGTGATAACCTACTGTTTTGGTGCCCAAAACATTGTCTTTCTGGTGCTCTTTACATTGTCACAATGTTGAAATGTAATTCCTCAGAAAGTTGTGACAACTTTCTAGGAGGTTGTGACAACGTCCTGACAACATTGACGAGACAGCAAAGTAATCTGTACTACATTGTCTGTAGGTTGTCACAACCTCCTAGAATTCTTATTTTAACTGGAGGGCATTGTGGTAAAACACGTGATCATTCAGTTTTGTTAAATGAACATATGACTTTGTAAATAAAATTAAAAATGAAAAAAATAGGCCCATTTAAAAAAAAACATATAAACCCAAGATATTTAGTTTTAACAGTGAAATGAAGTTTTGTCCAGAAATTCAAAGGAATGTTTTTAGTCCCAAGAAAATTGAAATTATTAACTGTTGTATAAGTTCGTCCAATCAAATGGGCTTTTCAATGTTTGTGAAAGATGCAGGAATAAGCAGTGCCTGCCTTTGCTGATTGCTTCCACAGCAAGAGGAAAAGTAACATGCCAAGGGTTAGCAAAAAACACAATGCATTTAGTAATGTAACTTAGCTCAGTCTAGGCAGACAAATGTGACCCATGTGTGCAGCTTGAGCCCCACATGAAACATCACATTAGTCTGGTAAGAGTGAGGTTTCTGTGTATGGGAGCAGTTAAGGAGTTTGAGCGTGTTCAGTGGGCCAACTATGAAGACCCAGAAGGCAGTAAATAACTTGTGAAACTCGTAACTCTCTCTGCTCACTGCTCTGCTTAAGCTAAACGAGCTGTTTTCATTGAATCATGCAGCACAGAATACCCCGTATACATTCAACATGGCCAACTACTGCTTGTTATCGCATGAAATGCATTGTGGTTGACTGTGGTAGTCCCGCTCCTGATGTGTGCTTTTTCAAAGCTGTCAATGACTCATACAATGTACATGTTTTATATACAAATTGTGTACATTTTTGAGCTCGATTTTCTTATAAACATCACTGACTATTGAACACCATTGGGAGTTGTTTGTTATTTATTGTCTAAAGCTGAAAGCACTTTATTTTTTTATAACGTTATAATACTCATATAATGTAAGTAAAAATGTAACATAAGACATTTTACATGCTGTTACTACAAGGCAAAAAAAGCATAGTTTTTTATCTGTTTCACTTGACCTAGAAGATGTAGACAATTTTCTGACAAATGATGTTATCTAAAAAGAGAGGTTCCCAAATCCTTATAAATGAATTTTATTTCTTTATTGACCGTGTGCATGCAGTTCACCATTAAACACTGCAGAATAAGGTCATGATTAATTCTCTATGTTCCTGATACCCAAAGGCAAAGCACAGTAATTATAACAGAAAGTGTCCAAATTAAAGGAAAGTCCTGCCTCTGATGGGCTGAGGAAGACATTCATACCTCAATTTAGTCTCTCATCTTCTTTTCTTCTCTTGTTCTTTTGGGATTGTTTTGTTCTTGTTTTTCTTTTCCATTTTATCCTTCTTGTTCTCCCCTTTCTTTGTTTTGTGATGAAAAGTCTTGGGCCTGGATTAGAATAAACAAATGCAAAAAACACAAATACAACCACACATGTGTTTAATGCAGTCAAATGAATTACAAGTGTTCTTGCTGCTAATGTCCTTTTCTTTTGGTTGCAGACACTTATGCTGCTGTGTCTGGAGCATAACAGGAAGAAAAACTGCCCATCACCTTCAAGGGGAATTCCACTGAGTTTTCCAAATTTCTGTATAATGTTGTTACATAAAAAAGTTATGAATATGCTGTCTGATGTCTGAGACATTGTTCTATGATGGTATCGAGTTTATTTTGAGCCTAAAAAGTCTTTTTTAAAAAAAACAAAACAAAAAAAAACAAAAAACAATTATGGTGGAGGAGTACATGAGGTACATGTAAGGTGTTGTGAGGCTAAATAGCTCCCCAATTTTTTATTTTATTTTGTTTTGTTTTTGTTGTTGTTTTTTTTTTTGCCAGATTTTCACTATTTTACCATCATCAACATTATAAAAACTTTATAAAAACATAAAATCCCAGAAGACACATGTAGGTTGACTGGTGGTTTTGCTTAATAAATAAAATGGCTATATTTGTATTGTAGATGTCAACACCCCTGGTTCCTATCACCACCACTGTAAAGGAATCAGAGTGTCTACAACGCACAATTCCCCATTGACAGCAGATATTGACTGAACAGATTACAGGAATATATGTAAGTTTTCTTTGCATTTTTAGTGAAATACATGCTTCTACCTTCTAAAATTAAAGAAACGTTCTGGGCAAGTGATTAGAAACTATTTTAACTTTTCGTTTTTAGCCCGTTGAGCTCCATTTACTCTCATTCATTGAGGACTCCCTCGCGGGCGCCCTCTGCTGTTTAGCAGTCATGTTTTTGATATAATGGGGGGAAGGGGCAGGCTCCTCATAAACCCACTCTGTTACTACCCTGTAATGTCTTCCAGGTTTCTCGGGAGCTCACGTGCGAGTCCAAAATGAACTGGTTAAGATGGAGCATTTGAGCAAAATCATAGTTTATAAATGTTTAAACATTTTAATATAAAAGGTTACATTCATTTCCTGAACACTGGATAGCATAAAACATGTTAACACCGCTGTTATATTTTAAGAGCTTTTAAACTATAGTTATTAGGAGTTTAAAACGGCGCCTCATGTACGTTCATGACCTCTGTGAGCGCGAACAGTCAATGAGCTGCTAATGGGAAGTGGCCAGGCTCCTCATAAACCGGCTCTGTTATGACCTTCGCAGCTGCCGTAGTTGCAACGCTTGCACTGGGCTGCGTTCAACCCCTACAACGTAGCGAAACGTTGATTTAAACGAAAATGGTGGTGCGTTGAACAGCTAAAAATACATTTTTGGTATCCTTTCACACCATTTCGACGAAACATGTCGTTAAACCCTGAAACCATAGCAAAACGGTGCACAACGTTTTGAGATTGAATGTGCCCCTGATGTCGAGCCCTCTGTACTACGGTTAATACGCAGTTCAGCAGTATTGTCTCCCCTCTGGGAGAGGGTACGGCAGCTCTCTTCCGGGTTTAGTGGGCTGAAAGACAGGTTGATGACGGAGTGCTGACAGTAAAACTGTCCAGCTTGACGGTTCTCTTCTCAACGCTAACCATAACCAATCACTTTAACCCGCCCCTTCGCGCGGCTGTGATGGGAATTACCGATTAACTATTGTTCGGTTCAGTTTCACTTTCACTCTGTGCTAACTGTTACGTTTTTGGTCGTTTAATCGAAGAGTGCTGCATTACTACGTTCTTTTGTTGTATGTTTTTCATAGAATTCGACAGGGCAGTTAAGACGAGCGTGAAAAGTGTGAATTGAATACATCTCTGTGCAAAAATGACTTCCTTAGACATGAGCCCTGCGTCAAAGAAAGAGGTTAGCGGAAGATTTTCGTTTGTCATTGTAGGCCTGAAAACTGGGATTTTCTGAAAGCTGATTTTTGTGCTGCATAACTTGCTTTGCGCTATCTAGTCATCTTCTTACCCGTCAGAATGTGTTATGTCTGTGTTTTCTATGTAAGCCTACACAGCGTTACATGTCAGTATTTGTTTTACAGGTTGATGGATTCACAAAGAAAGTCGGTAAAGAGGTAAGCTTTGGGTTACCCCCAGAATTACTTGCTTTGTAGAATCTTCTAAACGAGTATTGGAATACTACTTTTAGCTCTATTTTAGAGTGAACATTTTTGGTTTATCATAGGCAGAACAGTTGGTCTCGACTTTCTTCCCCCATATGATTGCTGAGATGGACAGCTTGTTACAGGTATTGTCTTAAGTGCTGACTATGTAGCTTTTTGATTATACCATGATTCTACAGTGATAATATTAGTAAAGATGTCTGTCATTGTCTTCAGGCCTTCTTGATTTTCGAGGACCTTTCTGCTCTCAGGGCTCCGCTGGACATCCCTATTCCAGATCCTGCCAAGGAGGAACTTAAGAGAAAGAAGAAAACTGAGGTAATTAGGTTTCTCAGTACTAAAATACTAATATTTGATTACATCACTTCATTGTAATCACAACACTCAGAGAAACAGGTTTTAGTTAACAGGTTACATATTGCCTTGATACATACTATATATGCTTCTATCTGTAGAAAGAAAAAAAGGAGGGAAAGAAAGACAACGACGGAGATAAAGATGAGGATGAAGGTAAATTTTACTTTGGCTGTCATGGTGTTTGTACAAAATCTTGTAAATTTAAAATAGTTCTTGCTCATGTCCAGTTTTTACATATGTGAAAAATTCCATATTAATTCCTCGTCAAATGGCAGTACACACATTGAAGCACATTATTGGTTTAGTTTTACAAAGCTGTAAAATAACTTTTTAAAATTTACAGGAGACCCTACATGGTAGTAAAGGGCAGCTTCACAAATACCTTTTTTGATGCAGACTGATCAAACATTTTCTTTAGTTTAGTTCGTTTTGACACATGGGAACACCTGTACTCCAGTGTGTACCAAACAGCTCAACTGTTGTCCACCAAGTGATCTTGGTTCCTGTTCACTACTTGTGGGAAGTCATTTTTCTGATGGTTTGCACCAGTCAGTGGAATTCAGGACTTTTCGCTTTTCTAGCAGCATGAAAGCACTGTCCACACAATCTGCTCATTTTAACATTTGACTCTTACAGGCACTCGTATCCACATCGTTCTTGCAGTACAAGCTGCTGCTAATAATGGCAGATGAGCATTTAATTTTAGGACATGGACTGTGGACCGTGATACATTTTTTAATAGGTTGGGCCAGGCATCAGTGACCTGATTGGTTACAACCAAACTGACACAAATCACCCAAACAAAAAAACCTGGCTGATCAGAAACACCCACAACTATAGTCTTGTCCATTTTTGCTGAAATGTGAAATCAACTGAAGTGTGAAAACATTCTAAAAGGCATAAATTAAATTAAAATGTGTGTTTCTTAATCCAGGAGGTCCTCCCTGTGGGCCCATTGTCTGCAACGAGAAAATAGAGAGTCTCATCAAAGAGATTAAGCCCCACATTCAGACACTAAAGGAAAAGCTCAACACAGTAAGTGACTTATAATTTACAGTATTAGTAAATTGTCATGTGCACTATTTACACTGATTTTACCAAGCTACATTTATTATTCAGTATTGTGAGAGAAACAGTAGTTTGTTTAATAATTTAACTCTTATTGTTTATGTTAAGGTGTCAATGTGGGTACAGCTGCAGATCCCAAGGATTGAGGATGGGAACAACTTTGGTGTGGCTGTACAGGTCTGTTTGTTGATGATCTGAAATCTAAGGCGTGGTTGTCTTGCCCATTTCACTACAGTTAGGCCACTTTAGGATGTTTATCTGTATAATATGATGTTTTTTTTATCACATTACTGCAATTTCATAGGAGAAGGTGTTTGAGCTACTAACCAATACCCGCACCAAGATCGAAGGATTCCAGACACAGATCACAAAGTAAGACACTCCCCTTATTCAAACAAGTCTCACGTACATTGTTGCCTTTTGTGTAAATATATTTGTTCGAAATGTCAGTCTTTCTTTAACTGTCTATTTTTGAATTTACAATGCAGTTGTTCCTCAGTTACTTAATCACTGAATTTGATTTTATGAGCTAATTACATGAGGTAGCAGAATACATTTTGTGAAACCTTTTGTGCAAAGCTCTTCACACAAATTCCTTCATAAAGTACAGTTTACACACTACGCTTATTTAGAAAGAAAGTCGTCATCGACTTTCCTAACTGCCTGACGAGGGCGTACGCTGCGAGTGATGAGCTCATGTGCTTGCATTCCAAAGAAAAGATGTGAAAGTGTGCATGTGATTTCTTTCATTATGTACCAAGTTTTCTTATTCCTTATTTTAGCAACTGTAATTGTTTCTACAGTACTTTGTATTGGACTTTTTGTATTTTTTAAAATACCATACTTTTTCACCAATGATAGTGATATAAAATATTTGTTTAAAGCACTTATTTGAGGTGAATAAAACCAGTTCTATTGCTTCTTACCCCATAAAGTAATTATTTTAGGTTTAACTTACAAATCATTTTTACAATGTGCTGTGCGGCCATAAAATGTTTGAAATTTGATATTATTGTACCTGCAGAATTTCATACTTTATGTTGTATATTTCAGTAGCATGATTCAAATGTATGGGTTGTTATTTAAAAAATACTTTTTATACTAGTTTTATAGTAGTGTTTTGAATTAATCTCAGCAATGTGTAATAGTACTTAGTCGTGGGTGTGTATGTGTGTGTGTGTGTGTGTGTGTGTGTGTGTGTGTGTGAGCATTTCAAGGCTTTTGTTTTGGAAGATAACATGGTGTGAAAGTGTGTGGTTATTTGGATTTGGAATTGGATTGAAATTTGGAACTGTGTCTTAGCAGTTGAGAAAAACTATAACATTGTTCTCGGTCTAATATTGTGTTTCTTTATGTTTAGGTATTACAGTGAAAGGGGAGATGCTGTAGCCAAGGCCTCCAAACAGCCACATGTGGTTAGTACTTTCATAATAAACTAGCCTGAGTGATAATCAGAGCTGATAATAAATATTTTTCCAATTATTAGAATCAGTATATGAACTTGCTTCCTGTTCGATAAAAGTTCCTTTCCTGATGTATGCGCATATATGGTGCAGTCACAGTTAACAAAACACACTTCTGTAGTCTGGCTCACTTGCTGCACAGCCGGCAGTTCGCTTCCCGCTCCTTACACTAAATTCCGAAACTGTCATTACCACTGAGCAAGTTTTTTGTTTTGTATTACGGCAGTTTTATGGCTCAGTCCGATTTGGTCAGACTCTGAAGATGAGACTACGCGTTTGGCGAATGGTATTCAGTTCATTTCTGGCTAATTCCAGGTTATTTAGGTTTTCTTCTGTCGCAGTTGCCGACTGAAAAGCTTGCTCGGTGGTAATGACAGTTTGGGGATTTAGTGTGGTCTCATCTTCAGAGTCTGACCAATTCGGCTGTAGGTCAAATGTGGTCTTAAAAGTATCTATTTTCTGTTTGTGTGCAAAGTAAGAAGTAAAAACGTTCAAATGGCTCCTACAGCTGTCAAACTCGTTGCTTAGCAACAGCATCTTAGAGGAGTGATAGTGTTTGTGAAAAACCTGTGATGTTATGGCGAAATATCAGCACCGTTATAACGCTTAGAACCAATCAGCTTGCGTGGCCTAAACTAACTGTTGGATAAAATTCAATCAAACATGTTTTTCGGTTGCTTTTCAAGAGACGCAGGAGGGAATGAAGCTGCACCATTCCCTGGACATGTAGAGAGGAGAATTAGCACTCTGTAACGTCTTCTGGGTTTCTGAAGAGCTTAGGGTGCTCCGGAGCAAGTCCAAAGTGAATGGGTTAAGATGATGCTTTTAAGCAAAATCATAGTTTATAAATGCTTAAACAACATTTCAATATAAAAGAATACATTCATTTTCTAAACAAAGAACAGCATAAATCATTTTAAGACCGCTGTTAGATTTAGAGCTTTGGAAGGTACAGAAGTTCAAAACGGTACCTCATGTACATTCATGACATCAGTAAGCGCGAATAGCCAATGAGCTGCTCCACTCGCCAGCCAATCAACACACAGTAGCAGTAATGCTAGCTTCCTAACGGGCAAAAACTTTGCTGTAGAAAAAAGAAAATCCATCCATCCATCCATCATCTAAACCGCTTATCCTTCTGGGTTGCGGTGGGGTGCTGGAGCCTATCCCAGCTGTCATTGGGCGGAAGGCAGGATACACCCTGGACAGGTCGCCAGTCCATCACAGGGCACAAAAAGAAAATATGATATAAAAAATTATACTTTCTAAAATGAAGGGAAGTTCTAGGCATGATTAGAAACTATTTTAACTTTTTGTTTTTAGCCGTTTAGCTTGAATCACCCCCATTCACTGAGGACTCGCTCGCGAGTGCCCACTGGCATTTTGCGGTCATGTTTTTGATATGACAGAGGAAATAGGAAGAGGCCAGGCTCCTCATAAACCAGCTCTGACTGCACCTGCTTTGCTCTCACATCAAGAGGAAAGGTGAAAACAAGAGGCTTAGTACACACAGTCGTATAATTTTGCTCACTCTAGCCAGACAAATGTGAGTTGTGCATGCAGCTTGAGCCCTGCCCAAAACATCATGTGTTTGGTGAGAGTGAGGTTTCTGTGTGTGGGAGCAGATATGCTGTTATTTATCTATGTAGTTTGAACGCATTCAGTATGTGTGTGCTCCTACAGCAGAGCTTCTTCAGTGGGTGGCCAGCTATGCTGAAGAGCCTCTACGAAGTGGTGAATTATTTGTAATATAATAACGTATCATTTTACATTTAATAAATAAGTAATACATAACGTCTGTACGTTTTCATTTGTATTTTTGCTATTTTAAAGTACAGACGGCTTCAGCTTGCTGTTTCCAAAGATTCCACCACTCTGCTTAGACTAAACAAGCTTTTCTATCAAATCTTGCAGCGAAGAATACATCTGATACATGCAGTCTGCTGCAGCTTTGACCTACTTTCTCTTTTTATTTCAAATGATTTTTTTTTTTATACTAACTGTTAAAATCTTTAATAAAACTCACATATTAAATAATATAACATTGAATAAACTCATCAAACTACTTCACTTGTCGTTTGGTAGATGTTACTGCAAAGGTGTCCTGTGGTGACTTGTGTGCTACTAGTGCCCCCCTGCTAGAGAAACTTGACTAGGGCTGAGCAGTATGACAATATATATCATTATCATGATAAATTGTGTCACAATACAATACAGTATGCTTTTCTGAACATATCGTTATGCATATTGTCAGTACTTGTCGAACACTGATCAACTGCATGTTCCAGTATAAAGAGATCAAAAATTAAATGGGATTTTGTGCAAAACGTTATGCCAAATATTGAATAAAAATCATTGTGTTCACAGTTTTTGATAGTATTTTTTGGAATGTAGCATTCCTGATTCTTTTTTCCTGGTTCCAACTGATCGGATGTCTGAAAAGAAACATAATAAATGTGACATATTGTGTATCATGAAAACTTTTTAAAGTATTGCAATATTATATTTTTACCATATTGCCTACCTCTGCTTCAGACTACAAGTGATTTACAAAGGCATGCTCATGTGCTTTACATATTTAAAAGCAAGGCAATTACATTGTTATAGTGGAGTCACTCTGGAGTTCAGGTATAGATGCCTTTGGAAAACAATGTTTCAGTGTTCAAGCTGTTCGGAAAAATGACAAATTTACTCTTTTCTGATCCTGTTTCCTGGCCATAGACAGGGAGCTGAGGAACTTCCTCTACTTCTAAAAGTTCTTTTTAAAAAGTTAAAAGTTTTAAAAAATTTTTATATTAGTCATGCAGATTGCATAGTTGTAGACTGTGTGGTCCACTTTTTATTTCCATGCATATGTGGAAATGAGGAAAAAAGGTTGTTTTAGAAATTTGCACAGCCTTTTGTTTGAAATTTTCATCAAATTGTTAAAAGTTACATTATAATTATATACCTTTGCTGCTGTGTTACAGGGAGATTATAGGCAGCTTGTTTATGAGTTGGATCATCACCAGTACTGTGAACTACGCATTGTGGTTCTGGAGATCCGCAACATATATGTGAGTTCAGCAACATGTACAGTGGTTCTCTCTAGGACATTTTTTTACTGGCACATGTGGAATTTGAATGCCCAAAGCTTGGACTGTTGCAGATGACTTCTTTCTGTTTTTAACTCTAGGCTGTGTTGTTTGATGTCATCAGCAAGAACTATGACAAAATTAAGAAACCAAGAGGAGACTGCAAAGCTCTTATCTACTGAGAAATAACCCCCATCTCTGCTGTACACACACAGAAAAGAAGAGAAACATACCATATCAGATTTCATTTGAGACACTTCCTCTGCTTTAGTCACAGTGTACTGACAGAAATCTAAAATTTCATTTCTGAGTACAGTTGGTGATTTTGTTTAAATTCATTTAATAAAATAGCAGCATTATATACATGGTATTTTTCAGTTATTTTGAATGACACCCTCCAAAATCAGATATCAGGTAAACAGCTTTGAAATCAGTTAACTCTGTTTCATTAACATGCTATTGTCGGTGCATTTACAGTTTTTTTTTTACAGAGGCATGCTTTCTGTAATGATGAACTGTTTTTTTTTTCAAAAACTACACACCTATCTGGGTAAACCTCAGACTTCCATTGTAAAAGATAATATGGATGAACATGTTATCTTCCATCTAAATCAAATCATCCATGTTGTGGTATATGACTAAAATAGTTTAAAATAGTTATAGACCAAAAATGCCTTTATAGCATTTAAGGAAAAACTTCCAAAATGTTCATAGTCAAAAGAATTTCAAAAAAACTTTTCACTTTAAACAGTGTGTAATAAATAACATTTAAAAACTTTCCACTTTCTCTGGTACTGGCTGCATTGAAGTGCTGTGGCTGAAATAGCCTTCGAAACAAATGTATAAGTGATCTATTTTATTTATTAGGTACAGCAAGATGCAGTATTTATTTAGGTGTACGACAACATTTCATTTTAAGTTAACTAGCTAAACCATATACACTGGTGTGGTGGTGTCTGGATAAGTGGATATACTGTCCAATGTGTGCATGTCTATGTACCACAAACACACATATCCCAAATTTTGAATGCTTTGATGAGGTATTTCAGTTTAAACATGTTTAAATCTACGCTGTGTAAATTACTCATGATTAAAATAACAAAACTCTTAATAAGACAAGTGATCCAAAAATTTTAAATGGTAGTGCCTGTGTTTTATGTCTTAGATAATTGAATAAAATTCTATACATGTCACGTAAAAATATTCCAGTACAAACTTAAGACAGAATAATACAAGCCAGTGACGCTATGACAGTGACATTTAGGCCTAATTATTTTTCTGGAGGTTTGTACAGTGTCGTACAGCGAGAAGCTCCATGGTGGTCAAACGGGTCCAGAAGGCTAGTGAGCAGTGGGCACCCGATCAAGGCAGAAGAAGCACAGACCGCACAGGATGGGCAGCTGTTCAACTGGTCAAAGAAAAAGAAAACACACAGAGAGTTAGTTCTGTAAAGAGTGACTGATTACAGTTTACAGGGTTAGCAAAGTGCAGAAGAGATATATATATTTAAAAGGAAATGGGGTTGTACATCTAGGAGCTTCTCATCACGCTGGTAGGAGAAGTATTATTGGAGTCTTGCAGATTGTGTTTACACAACTTGTTTTAAGAATGACAGTGGCCAAGCACATGACACAGCCTGAATAAATTCAGTAATTCATATTATCCAAATCTGAACATGACCAATTATCAACCACCTCATTAACATCAAAAGCATGAATGCTACCAAATCATGGTCATTGTTGCTGCTGTGAGCAAAAAAGGGATCTGAGTTTATTGATTTATTTTTTTCACTGATAAGCTTTTCTTTCTGTTTTCTGTGTTCTGGGCCATGGTAGGAACAAGTGACTAAGTTGTAAGTAACAAGTAAGTCTCAGGTCTTGACGCTTGAGTCCCGAGTCTTTTTTCACCCTTCCAAATAAAATACAAAATCCATGGTATGTAGATAACCTTGAGTGACATAATGGTATAGATAGATAGATAGATAGATAGATAGATAGAAAAGGGAAATTGCAGTGTTACAGTAGCAAGACATATAATTGCACATAAACTATTAAAGAGTAGGAATAAAAGTATATCTATTGCATATTTACATAGCATAAAAGACAGATTTGCAGGTATTGCACTAAGTGGTATGAGGTAGTTACAACACAATGAATGTAAACATAACTATTAATATCAGCAGTGTTTACAGTCTAAAGTACATAGTGAAAGTGTCATTACAGTAGCAGGTTATGATATATTGCACAGTGTGTATTAACAAGAGAAGAGATACTGTGATGTGGTTCAGCAGGAGATCAGTACCGTCTCTGCAGTAAGGAGACTTGTTGTAGAGCCAAATAGCAGTGGGTAAGAAAGATCTCACACAGTGCTCTGTAACACGGTGCAGCTGTAACGGCCTGCCACTGAATGTGCTTCTGTTTATCCAGTGTAGCATGCAGGGGGTGTGAGGTGTTCTTCAAGATGGCTAACAGTGAGAGTCCTTCGTTCTGCCCCAACCTCCAAAGAGTCCAGCTTGACTTCAACAACAGAGCCACTTTCTAACAAGTTTGTTTAATTTGTTCAGGGCACTTTTGTTGATGCTGCTGCCTCAGCACACAACAGCAAAGAATAAAGCACTGGCTACAACAGACTGGTAGAATGTCCTTAGGAGCTTTGTGCACACACCAAAAGACCTCAGCCTCCTCAGAAAAAGTACAGGTGGCTTTGGCCTTTCTTGTACATAGTGTGAGTATTACAGTTCCAGTCCAGTTTGTTGTCCAAGTGCACACCCAGATACTTGTAGGTCCCCATCACCTTCACGTACTCGATCCAATGGTGACTGGTGACAAGGCCGGTTTGGACTTTCTAAAGTCCAGCACCATCTCTTTACTCTTACTGATGTTTAGCTGCAGCTGGTTCAGCTTACACCAGTCAACAAAGTCCTTCACCAGCTTCCTGTATTCCTCTTCCTGTCCATTCCTCATACACCCCACAATGGGCATGCCCCAACACATTTTCAAAGTATCAAAGAAATTTCAAAGTACTACTAAACTTATTTTGAAAAGTATATTTTGATATAATAATTTTTGACTATCTGTGATGGAGTGGCAAACTGTCCAGAGTGTTTCCTGCCTTCTGCCCAATAAGCACTGGGATACACACAAAAAGAGTTCTAAACAATTTCTGTACACTTAATGAACTGCAATACCTGGGCCTCCTAAGTGAAAATTAGGCTCAAAACTGGCAAGACTCATCCCTCTACATGACATAGTCATATGCAAAATTTGGGTGCCACTGCTTGCAATAACAATAAAAAATGATCACAATGTACCAAAAGAAAACAGGTTTTATTAAATAGTTTTGTAACCTTTTAAATGTTTTAATTTTTACCCGATTTTCTCCCCAATTTAGTCGTCTCCAATTCCACCCGCTAGTTAGGACTCCCCCAGTCACACGATGCTATCAACGCTAGGAGGGTGAAGGCTAACACAGGCTTCCTCCGAGACCTGTGAAGCCAACCACCGCTTCTTTTCAAGCTGCCGCTCACGCAACGTCATTGGACAGCCGAACGCGCTCGGAGGAAAGCGCCAACCGCCAGATCAGTTACGTCAGCTAACAGACGCCTGCGCTGACTAGCATCGCGCTGAGTGATGGGGGGAGAAGGAGGGGCCATCCTACCCACCCAGAGAGAGCGACGCCAATTGTGCTCTCTCGGACTCCCGGCTACGGATGGCTGTAGCACCACCAGGGATCGAACTCGCGATCTCCTGATGATAGGGCCAACGCTTAGACAGTTGCACCACTCAGGAGCCATGACCTTTTAAATGTTTGATTGGAATACTCCAAAACAACTTTGTTCAGTGCAAGTTGCATGATGTACTACAACTCATACTTGCAAATGTAACTTCTGTCAAACTCTTGTTAAGGGTTTATGTGAAATAATTTCAGTAACTTTAGGACAGTAGAGCGTTTTGCTCCAAAACAAGTTGTCCTTAAAGTGCTACCCACATGACATACTACACCTTTTATTGGTAACTTTAACCTCTGCAGATCTGTAGGGGATTCATTTCAAAAGCTCTTGAATCAGGTGCAACCTACTTGACTTACTACACCTCATATATTGATAATTTAAACTATGCTGGCATGTGGTGCTAGATTTTTGTGAATTCATTTTAGTAGTTTTTAAACATTTGAGAATATCGTTCTGAAACAAGTTGTATTTAATCGAGTGCAACCAACATGACATACTACATCTCATATATTGGTAACTTTAACTTACGCAGATCTGTAATGAAAGTTTTTTGTGAACTAATTTCAATAGCTTTTAAACACTTTACAATATCTCTCTTAAAGAAATTGGACCAGAGGAGGATGGGTTCCCCTTTTTCCTCTTGCTTTTAGGGAGCTTTCCTTGGGTTTATGTGAAATAATTTCAGTAACTTTAGGACAGTAGAGCGTTTTGCTCCAAAACAAGTTGTCCTTAAAGTGCTACCCACATGACATACTACACCTTTTATTGGTAACTTTAACCTTTGTAGATCTGTAGTGAATTCATTTCAAAAGCTCTTGAAAATTTTATGACATTGCTTCAAAACGAGTTGTACTTAATCAAGTGCAACCCACATGACATATTACACCTCGTATATTGGTAACTTAAACCTCTGCTGGCCTGTAAGGAAAGAATTTTGTGAATTAATTTTAGTAGATTTTGACCGTTTGATGATATCGCTCCAAAACAAGTTGTATTTAATCAAGTGTAAGTAAGTTAACTTTATTAAAACGTGTTGCGTGTTGATGTACTTGGCCATGAACAAGCATTTGGATGAAGAAATAACAGTAAGATATTACTCTTGTTTTTCAGAGCTCTCATAGTAGTGTAAAAATAATTCTCTTGTACCTACTTATAGTGAATTCCTACGCATAATTTTAAAGCAGATATTGCTGAAATCGTAAAAACCATTTCATTAGGCTAAAATGTAGTTACTTTTAGCATGCTATGTTATACAGTTAAGTTACATTCAGCTGCCTTTTAGGAATCTTTTAGTTAATACAGCTAATGTTACATTAAACTTAACTTTAGCTTAACTTTTTTGATTGTCACTCTTCTAAGCAACATTAACTAATTTAACTGGCCCATTGTAGTAGCCTCAAACATTGTTAAATTCTGCATTATTCTATTAACATTTATTAGTATGAAGACAGCTGTAGCGAGTAATCAGGGTACGTTCACTGCTGGTGTGTTTTAATTTATAAGCAGCAGCAATGAAAATGTTATAACATTATAGCACTTATTATTGGCTTTATTTGTTGGTTCAAAATGATTAAACTGGATGTTACTTAAGTTACTATCCTTCACTTTGGCATGTTTAACATGTTTAACTG